TAGAGAACAGTCAATCCCACTATTACCAAATAATCCTCTAGGAAATAAATGCAGTAAAAAAGTCACACTTGTCTTAGCAGATGTTAACATAATTTTAATTTAATGGGTTAGAGCATTTAAATACTTTTCTGGAACTATTCAGAGCACATGCCTGTAATGGGGTAAATAGGAGGAATATGATTTAGCTTTAAAAAATCAGACTCGGTAACAGTACATATCTCTAAAAAATATATTCCATTTTATGACCAGCTGGTTGAATGTCTTGCTGTGATACAGCAGCATCGTGGTACTGTATATTTTGAAGGCAAGGCTAAATTTAGACCCTGGCTCCAGCTGAAAGACTCAGATGTCCTGACTTGCTGTTTGGGGCGCTTGCTGTAGAGGAAAATAAAATTCAGGGCCGGATCCAGACCCAGAGTCCCCATTCTCCTGCTGCTGGGAGTACCAGTTTTGCCCTACTTGTTTGACTAGGAGTGAATGGGACTGGTTTGGTTTTCTTCCAGACCGGTTATACCTCGCCTCATTATAAACTTCACCGTGTACTGTCCTTTCCCCTGTCTTATCTCCCCGTCTCCTTCAAGGGCAGTGGTGGAATGCAAGAGGGGTGCTTTTGCTGGGGGCTGTTCTGAGCTGAGAGGAGAGGCAAAAATGACCTTTTATCCTGCTCGGTGTTTCAAACAGCTTCCGCCTGCGGGGAGGGGATGTGTTGAGAACGTGTGAGAGAAAACACTGAAAAGGGGAAAAAGGCTCAAAAAGGGAGGGGGAAAAAAGTACAGCAAGGAAGCTAGAGACAAACTTCAAGTTGTGGATTATTTCTCACCCAGGCTCTAATTAGGAAGCCTCTTATGGGACTGTGAAGCTGTCAGGCTGCCAAATGTCAGCGTGTTTATCGGAGATCAGGCGAGTCTCCTGTCTGCAGCAGCTACAGTTTGGTGCCGTGAGCCTCCTGGGTCCTTCCAGTGTGTGACTCACACTCAGCAGTAGCACCTCCGGGGGCTTCGAGGCGCAGTGGAGGGCTCTTTCTTCTCCCTTAAAAATCCAAAAATAAGCCCTTTCCTGAGATCTGGCCTCTTTATTCTGGCTCTGCACGGGGAGGGTTAACCACAGGGTGCAGAGCAGCTTCAGCATATGTGACTCAGATTCCCAGGGAAATCCCCACCTTATCTGATGGAGCCTGTTAGTCTGCTAATTGAATAAGCTCCTATTAAAAGTGCAATGTTTTTTAATGACTGCTAACGACGGGCCAGATTCTGATCTGATCTTTTCTCTTGGGATCATTTTTGCTGCTGGTGCGGCCCAGCCCCGATTGCAGCCGGGCAGCCTCCCCCAGCCCCACCGGCTGCCGCGGAGCCCGGGCCGGGAGCTGACACCAACACACCAGCTCTGGGGCTTCCGGGGTGCTGGGGAGCTACAGACCGGGCATTAAAACTTCAGTTTTAATGAGCCGGGACTTCATGAAGCGTAACAGGCAGGAAGCTTTTAATGGGAATCTTTAGGAAGAGACAGAAGGCTGCAGTGCAGCCAGCAGAGGAAAGCGTTTGTTGGGAGACTACCAAGGGCTCCATGTAACGTAATTGCTGCAAATATCTACTGCGTGATTCGAGCAGTGCTCTGAGTAATTAACTTTGCCAGTGTTGAAATCAGGTTGATTTGTTGATTCTGCATATATGACGTTGTCTGTGTCTGCCTAGGAAAAATGTGTGTGCCTCTGCATATGTACATTCAAACCCTAATTTTAATTAAAATTATGTGTATTACATCTGTATCTTCTTTTTCTCTATGGGATTTGACTTCGAGAAGGTATTTGCCTAACAGGAAAATAAAAAAACGTGGTTAGCATTTAAAGTTAACTCAGTAGGGTTCCGGGGTACTTCCGAAGGAGAGTTTAACAGCTCTGATTTCAGCCAGGCCCTGGCTGCCCCAGGGTGGGGCTGAGCTCTCTTGCACGACCCTGTGACTATATTTGCCTTCCTTTTCTCACCTGAAACTCCCAGTGGGTTACCCAAGCCTATGTGACATCAGAACCATACAAAGTTTTCTAATAAGAAGACTGTTTTTTGTTTCTTTTTGCAAGCCAGGAATGAGATCTGGCCACCTTCACCCCCATGCATCTCCACACCTACTCAGTTCCTTTGTGTGTCCCTTTTGCTTTTCTTCAAGGAAAGTTTCTATTAAAATGCAGGAGCTTCTTTTAGCAGGTCCCATACATCCACACTGACACTGAGCCGCTGCTTTAAAAGTTTCATAAGCAACCAGTAAGTGGTGGGTTTTTTCCACACAATACCAATAACGAAGTGTCAAAAATCTCAAGCTCCTGTTATCAGAGGCAGAGTCTAACCCCCGTTTCTCAGGCTGTTTTCTATTCCCCACTCCTGAGTTGTCAGATGCTGTGACATGGCTCCATCACACCACGACTAGCAGTCCCAACAAACAGAAAATGATTTCCAACTGGCAAACATGCTGTTTACTTTCCAGAAAAATTGCACTTTCCCATCTGACAGCTGATCAAGGGATCTCCTGCTGCTGTCAGCATGAAGAAGTGTTTAAACACAGGGATGGAAGTTTAAACATTTTCTCATTATCACAGAATAAAAAAAATTAAAAAATAATAAAAAAATAAAGGCATTGAGTCTCTCCGACCACCTGCTGTGCCAGTAATGAAGCGGTGTCACATGACCAGCCGGCGAGGACTTTTATCTCTGCCCCAATATCATTACTGAAGTGACACCTGTCACATGACCCGCATCAGAGCTTTCATCTGGGCTCCCCAAATGCAGTTCTGGCTTGTGAGGGGGATTTTCCTGGCATTTCCCTCCCCCACACACACTTTAAAGAGCATTGCCCACTTGCGCCATTACAGACAGAGGTTTGCAAGTTTCAAAGCCCTTGGATCTTTCCTTGGGCACATGTAATTTGGCCAACAAACTTGCTCCAGGCTGAAGGAAAACAGAATCCTGGCCTGGGAAAGAAGTTATTTAATTTACTTCAAGATGTTTTTAAAGCAAATATTTAAGTCTGCTGTTAAACTCTCTTTAGAAGAGGATGTTAAAGGATTTCTCAAAAATCTCCAATTTGTTTTTAATTTTTTATTAGATGGTGAGAAGAAACAGTTTGGTGACCCTTGAGCAAAATGATCTCCGTTTACATGCACTTTATAAACTCTCACCTGCTTTATTAACGCATCCTACCCCTGCCAAGAGAAAGCATTTTCTGGGGAAAAAAAGGAAAGATCATTCCTGCACCTCTCTGCAAACGTCTGGGATTTTTTGTGAGGTGTTCAACAGCAAAAACCTAGATTTGAGATGGGCCCACATAAATGGTAGCAGTTCTGAGCACTTACTCACCAGAACCCACTCGGTTATTATCTCAAAACAAAACAACATCAAACATTCAGATGTGACAGGGGATGATCATCCTGCAGGAACTAGATGTGGGCACACTGGAGATAAGAGAATATGAACTTTATGGCTTTTTCCAGCTCCTCCTTTCCCACCCCACACTCATCCCTGAATGAAGTCTAGTACTTCTCTCCCTTCATAATCTAATTCAGCTCACTAAAACAATGAAAAACTAAGTCAGCAAAAGAGCTCATAATTTTCCACCTGTTTAGTGAACTAAATCAGTTCTTCAAGGTCTTAGAAAAGTGCTGGAGAGCAAAAAAGAGAAAGACGGTGAAGCTTGAAGCAGGGAGGGAAATGGTGGAAGGAGAACCACATTTTTGGGTGGCACTAACTTGGTACATGAATTCAGATGTGCTTCTTGTTACCTACTGTTTCTGACTCGTTATAGCATTACAGCCATTTTCCCTGAAAGCTGCTGCCCCTGAAACTGTGCAGGCCAGGGGATGGAAAATCTACTGAGATCAGTACTTCTAGTGTAAATAGTACTCCCTTTAGTTTGGGACAGGAGTCGTTCTGAGGCAATTTCTCTCTCTGATCTGGCATGTTTAAGGCCTCCAATATTGACTTAATGAACAGAAGACTGCTGGGTTGCAGCACATCCTTTGGACAGGGTCTTCCTGGCTTTCTATCCATCTAGATACAGAATTAGAAGGTATCACTTGACCCTTTGGCAATTTAGCATATAGACAAATTTAGCAATGTCATGGCCATTATGGGGTAGCAGCTATGTAAAACAGCAAAGCCATTCTGTCTGCTGCTCCAGGGCAGAAGAAATTTACAGCTGATGCTCTGGATAGACCATGAGGAAAAGTGACTCAGTTCTCATCATTAGATCCCTCACTGCCCATGCATAACAAATCCTTTCATTTAACATATCTTGAGCATTTAGTGGCTTCCAATTAGGAGCAGACCATGACCAACCCATTGCAGGCATTAGAGATCCTGCTTCTTCACTGTTCTTAGTTCAGACATCTCCAAGAATGCAAAAGGAATGCAGAACAACCATATCCCAACTTGGGCATCATTTATAGCTGCTCTGCTCAGTATTGCAATGGGAGGTCAAATCTTAATCACCCTAAGAGTAGCTGATTGGTAGATCTGGGTCCATGCAATCTAGAGGTAGAAAGACTTTTGGGACATAATTTGCCTTTTCATCAAGACAGAGAACTTTAAGGAATGTAACATAAGGAATATCTTGTCCTCTTAACTGAGCAGTGCCTGCAGATAGTCTGTGTACCCTTTTATATAGTTAATCTATACATTCCTGCAATTATGTCTATAGCAAGGGCAAAGGGGAACATTAACACTTGTGCTGCTTCCTGCCCAGATCTGCAGTGTGTGGTTGGTAAATGATGGACTGGGGTGGGGCCGGACCTGCAGCTCCCTTACACTAAAAGCTCACCTTTCAGCTCTTTCTGTGGCTGCCACCCATAGCTCCTTGACTGGTTTTGTTCCAGTGTCTCAATGTTCTGCATAATTCTTCCTCAGAGAAGTTCTCCCAGTCATGCCAGTGACACTACTTAGATGAATAAGTAGTATTCAAGAAAGTTTGCATGCCTGCACCTTAATGATTTATCTCTGTCTTCCTTTTCTTCCCAGATCTGCTGTGGGCTTATATCATGTCTACTGGTTTATGATGTCCCAGAGCTAAGAAAAGGATAGCTGAAACCAAGCAGACTAGTACTTGAACACAGTAAGTTACTTGCTTTCCCAATTCTCCCAGGAAGAATACTATGAGAAATTTCACAGTAACTGTAGTTGGGAAAGAGCTCTCTGATTTCCCTATGTGTCCTGATGAGCACTTACCTCAGATTAGCTTTCCTTCTCATAGTCTGTCAGCAGCCCTGAGCTCAAGGAGATTAAAACACTCTGGTAACTCATTAATGAGCCAAGACTCTCAGCAACAGCTGGGGCAAGAATGGACTGTGTTTGGCTACATCTTAATTCTTTGCCATCTCCCCTCTGCTCATCAACACCTGCACACATTTGGGATCCTGTATAAGAAGACCCCTGAATTCAGCTCTAAGCAACCAGTCTGCAATGCACATGTCTAATGCTCTGCTGGTGTGGAACCAGTACGCTGGTAATCCTGTTAGTAATGGCAGAAGCTCCCTCTAGGAAATTATAACAAATAGTCTTAAACAATTCCTTTTGTTGACAACTTTATCCAAGAAACCATCTTCCCTGGAGACTTCACTCAACTTTTGACTAATCCCCTCCTTCCCTCAGGAGCTCTTTTGTTGAAGGAGATTGTAGGCAAACCCAGGAATGACAGGTCTCAATAAGCCTTGGATCAGCCTCTACATTCTTTCAATTGTCAGTCCCCATCTGTCCTGTTTGTACATCGATCTTCTGGTCCAGGGATCTCTCTATTAAGTGACACATGGCTGAGTATATTCTGCAAGTCCAGTGTCCAGACTGTGCTGTTACATCTTCGTTGCCAAGTCAATCTTTCTGACATTGGTTTCTGAAAAACAAAAGGCAGGACATCTGTGCAATTTCATTCTCTTCTAATGAAAGGTGATTTTTAAAAATACACACCCCGCCCCTCAAACTCTGTCCTTGTTTTATAATCTCAAAAATTTTGCTTCATTTTGTCAATATCAAGAGTTACTTCAAAGGTCTTTGGTGTAATAGAGGGTACAATCTGCCTCTGTTGCAAAGGAATTCTGTTAGGATAAAAATGAATGGCCTAAGTCCTGAATAACAAAAAAAAAATAGATCCTAATTACAAATATTCGGCAGAGATATTGCCTTCAGTCATATCTTCTTGATAACAGCTGGTTTAAAACAAGCTCTAATCTTCCTGTAGATTCAACTACACTTAGCTGGTACAGTAGCACACACATGTAAGAGGCACAGCATTATTTATCTGAATTTTGAGAGGCGGAATGAGAACAGTAGCAGATTCCAATGATCCATCTGTTCCTCCTCAGCAGGTAGAGGGAAAGAGGTGGGTGGTATAGGGTAGAAAATGAATGGAGTGTTGGCATGGAGTATATGTCACCCTGGGATATCAGGGATACTGTCAGTACCTCTTCCTTTCTTGAAACCAGAAGGAGAACAAGGAGGAGTCTGTGATGATGTTTTGTCCCTTGCTGTGTTGCTTGGGGCCCATGGATTCAAGATGGAGCCTGGTATGTTTAGGGTTTTTTTGTTTTGTCTACTTTTATAACTTAACTCAGGTTGGCAAGTGAAGGAAGGCTGGCCAGTTTCATTATGTTCCCAGGAAATTCTATTCTCTCATGTGCCAGCGTGAGGCTGTTGTGCTTTAGATGCCTATCTACCTCTCATTAGATTTGAAAAAGCATACAGAACCCCCTGCTTTCCATCAGTAGCCTATTAAAATGACAAAAAAATTACTCTTTCATTTTTAACCTTGCTTGCATGTCTGAATCCAGATGCTTTTTTAAAAAAAGATAATTAATAATATGAACACCATCACTTACAGAATGTTTTCCTGTAATGAAGTGGAGAAGAAAACTTGAGCTGACATTTAAGCTCATTTAGTGTACTTTGTAAGTAGCTTTAAAAAAGTGACACAAACACTTTGAGGCCAGGTTAATATAAAAAAAATGTTTAAGACTATCTCCTACTATTTTCAAGTTTTCACCATCTTATATGATGTGTTTGAGAACTGCTAGGTCAGTTAAAATGGGCCAAATACAAGTTCATTGAACACTGAAGCATGAGTGCCCTCCTCAAGTAGTCCCAGAAGCCTTAGTGGAACTGACAGCCAGCTTTTTTGGCAGGATTAGGGAACAGTCATCCTGTCTGCACTCAGCTGAGCAGGTGAGCAGGGAATGCATTCAGGCTGCTTCCAAAACCCAATCTGGTCACAGGGCTGGCATTGTCAGGTCCTTCTTGAAAGGACTCGAGGCTTCCTGTCTGCCTGCTGTTGTCCACAGGATGAGGGCAGAAGGGGTACAGAGAGGCTGTGAGACCAGGCACTGAGTGCTGGGACCTGATCCTATAGCAGGTACCTGCCATCTCCATGCATTTGAGAGCACAGATGGCTAGCTGAGGTGTACCTTGCTATCACAGCTAGGTTGCCTCTTAGCTTGGCAGACAGTAAGACAGTCAAACTAATTTGGCCTCAAGATCAGTTTTCAGGTCTGCCCTTCAAGCACAGACCCAGCACTGACACTGACAGGACACATGGTGATAACAAATGCACAAAGTAAACAAAGAGACAGGATATAATAAAAGGGTGTTTTCTGGTAACTTCTTCCAGTAACAGTGATTTCAAGTGATCTTTTGGTCTTCTGTTACAAAAAGGAGATGAAAAATATTGATGCTGAAGCATCGTTCTGAGGTGCGTCGTATTAAAATAGGGATTAATTAAAACCAAGGATGTTACAAGCTAAGGAGATTTTGCCTAGCTCTGCTCAGGTTCCAGTGTGTGTGAAATCAAAACAAGTAAGCTATAAAATGTGAACTCAATAGGCAAGGACAAAAGAGAACAAAGCAATTTGGTCAGTTTAAGCAGTGGGGAGATGAAGCAATATTTTGACTGCGGAGGCATCAGAGGAAAGGGCACTGGTCTGAGGCTTGGAAATATAACAAAACAAATCCAAACTTCCCATAATACTACTGAGTGTTGTTCATTCAGGGCCATTGGCTTGCTGATCTCTTCTCTCTGAATGTGAGGTTTCCCACTTTGTCCTCATGCTGGGATGTGATCATCCAGCCCCGGGTATCAGTTCTGTTTTCCCATCTTAAATACACAAAGAAATTCATGTGCTAAAGATGATGGCAGCAGCTTTGACAGTGGCAACTATGTGCTTACCCAAGAATCAGTTAGTCATCCCTACTTTCTACCAGAACTTGCTCGAACCTCCTGAGAGCTGGCCTTTTCGGTAAGAAGCAAACAGGTCACAGATTTCAGGTTGCAGTCTCACTCCTGGAACTGTGAGCACTGATTGTCCTGTGGAAAAATCAGGTTAAAGAGAAAGCTGAAAAATGGTCCTTTTCCTTCATTGTGCTACTTTCCTAATGCTCTCTTGTGACATTAGCCACAATATAAAATAATTCAGGATCCTATTTCACACAGCTGCATTCCTTCTGATTTTTTTTGGAAAATTATTTCTTTAATCTAGACACCCTTTTCTAGAAATCTCATCTACAGTTTTTTTCTTTTTTTCTTTTTCTTTTTCTTGGAGCAACCAGCAAAATACTATTTGGTAGAACAGTGATAGGAATGCAACCCACTAATCAAAAGGATTCAAATGGATCTGCGCACTGCCAAGCTCTCTCCTTCCCACCCAGCAGAGGGGAAAAAAAAGAAAAAGAAAAAAGAGATAGAGCGAAGGCACAGGGCTTCTCTCCTTCAGCAATCTCACAAATGCAAAACCTTCCACTCCAGTGACTCCTCATTAACTTACCAAATCTGACAGTCTAATTATCGTAGCTGCTTCACGCTTAGAATAAATAAATACTAAAGTGGGTGTTTAAAGAAATTGAGCAGTGAAATCCAGTCATCTAGACAGTCAATAGAGAGTTTATTTTAAATTTTTATATTCTTATGTATTTATATCATTTTAGGAAAGATAATGAGATAGTTGTCTTTCAGGCTAATTGAGTTTCTCTGCTCATGGTTGCTTGCTGTCACAATCTCAAACTTAGCTTTAACTTTTGTGCCTTAGAAACCTGATCACTACATCCCCGTTTACTCTTTTCTGATAATAACTGGGTGAAGTCAGAAGTGCACCTGAGGATGGGAAACGACTACACCAGACTACCAGTCTGGATGTCTTTCACAGCAAACAAGCCAACTAAATCTTTTCAGATTTGCATTTAAGAGTGCTAAAGGGGAAATGGAAGTTAAAGAAACATCAGATATAACTTGCAATTAGACAAAATGCAGAAAAACATCTGCTAACCTCTGATGCAATAGTGTCTGCCTCCATGAACAGTATTAACAGTGCTCTCCCCCAAGAGCAGTTCATCTCTCTGAACAATAAGACCTTTATAGAGATTCTCTGGCCTGAGATCAATGGGAGTCAGAGCATTTGATCCATGTCTGTAGGACTTTGTTTCCACAAGTCATGTGGGCCAAACTTTGTACCAGTTGTGCTTTTGCAAGAGCGAGAGCTGGGGAGTGAGCAAAGGAAACTTTCCTTTTTTTCCCATCTTCCCCTTCACCCTGTGCTCCTGAACAGTGCCCAGCACTTGCCAGCACAGTATCTGCTCCAGGACAGCACGCGGGGAAGAGTTGAAACTGGGCAACATGTCCAGAGTCCTGTGCCCTTGGCAAACATCTGCTGTGATGTTGCAATAGCTCTTTCCTAGGGTGATGGCTTAATGACAGAATAGAAAACTTTAATGTCCTGTCAGTATGTAAGCAAGGAGACCTTCCACCACTGTGGAGATCAGAGCGGGTGAAGTGAGAGGTGGCTTTCCTGAGTTAAGTGAAGATTTGCTTTATCATCTCACATATAAGAATGCTTCTGGCTTAGGAAGCTGATTTCCTGCTCAACACCAGCTTTGGTTTATACCTGTGCTAAGGCACATTATAAACCAGATGCATACACCTGATAGGAACTTCACTTTCTAGGTGTCTGTATCTGATTTGCAGTGACGGATACCTATTTGCTGTATACAGAGGTGGCACAGCACAGTGGTAAAATAATATTAGGTGACTATATAAACCTTTTAGCTATGTAGGAGAATCTAGGGCAACCAGTCAACCCG